CCTACCTCGATTCTGCTCTTTACCGTTCTGCAAACATTACTGCCAATCGTAACAGTAGCAGATCAAAATGGATGAAGCTGACGAAAGCGATAAGATTGTTACCAATAACAGTGGTAGTGGTGATAACGAAGGATAAGAAATAATAATACCGATATTTATATTGGAAAATTAACAAAAACAATAAAATAATAATAGTAACACCGACATCAGAATGAAACTATAACAGCAATGAAATAATAATGTCAGTTGCGATAGCAATGACACTAACAATAATTATTATATATCATGACAGCGACCAAGAATTTATTTGAACTCACCTTAACAATAGCAAATTGCTGATTAATCCAGAACAGCGTGGAATCTGTGAAATCTCGAGGATTCGGCGGAGAACAATCTGTTAACAATACTTGGTGCCGCATTTTGGGAAAGGCGACCAAAGACTGAAAACAATTTTCTCAAATTATAAAGATGGTGACAGCGTCAACGATATATTAATAGGAATATCAGTAAAATAGGAGTAATAACAGTGATAATGACAATAATAATAACGAACAAATAAAGTTCTGTTGAGTTCAGCATGTGGAAGTTGTGTTGCGATTCGAATACTTTCATACGAAAGCTTCTCTTTCGCTCGATCATTCCAACAAAACAACACCGACATTTGCAAAGTTGTCACATCCAAATCATATTTTCCAACCGAATTCCCAAAAATTATCTAAAAACATCCAAATAACAACTTCAAAAATCAAGGCTGAAATTCGGGAACATAGAATTTTATAAAAGAATTACGAAAAAATACTTTCCAAGTGGAATAAAACCCATTCTAAAGAATAATATGATCTTCCTACGTCAAAACTATGATCATTCACATCGAATCGCAAACGGCAAAAACGTTAGCCCGATGCGGGGCTCGAACCCGCGANAAAACAACACCGACATTTGCAAAGTTGTCACATCCAAATCATATTTTCCAACAGAATTCCCAAAGATTATCTAAAAACATCCAAATAACAACTTCAAAAACCAAGGCTGAAATTCCGGAACATGGAATTTTATGAAAGAATTACGAAAAAATACTTTCCAAGTGGAATAAAA